AGTCAGCTTTTACATTCAGAGGAACCATCTTTAATAACCTATGAGGAGGGGGGGGCACAAAACTAAACATTCACATGAAACACACAAAGCTGAGTGAAACAAACATTGACATTTAAGGCGTCCACAGTGACGGCAGCATCTCCACCAGTGTTAAACATAGCTAGCTACATATGGACCCCCAAAGACTCCATGTCCGTCTCCCTGTCCAGCCTTGTGTCCATTCAGCGCGACTGGAACAACGGGATCACCAGTGGCCAGTGCCGTTACCCAGTTTGTCCCTCACCGTTTTACATTCATCTGCAAAATGCACCATTTGAAAGTGTCTGAGCAATAACTGCGTTAGAAAACCACCCAGGACAATGCTGCTGAATAAAAACACTTAGAAAGAGGCCAAACCCGACAGTTCAGCACTCCTCCACCACGGTACCGGCCGCGGAGGAGTACAGCTTCTTCTTGACAAGTCGGAAGCCTGGACTCAGTTTAAGTACATGCCTGAAGTTTGGGGCAAAGCAGGTTGCCAAGAAGAGGAAGTCCCGTAGGCTGGGCCAGGCGCTGCTGTCCTGCTTGAACACAAGTGTCAGCTCAAACGTGGGCACCACGGTGGCATCGTACATGATGCGCTCCAGCCGCTTGCAGCCCTTGTCCAGCTCCTTCTCCGGGTGAGCTTCTCTGGTACCAGCACCGAAGAGCAGTGCAGCGTCGTCTTCTTAGCTCGAGACAGACAGCTCTCAAACATCTTGACCAGCCGCTGACAGGCTCTGTCCTCGGAGACATCCGCACCCCTCTGGGGCTCAGTCAGGCAGTGGTCCCAGAAATCCAGCTCTGAGAAAACAACGCACGGTGACCATCTGGGGAACCAACACTACAGTAGCTGCAGGGCAGCTTCATGATGCTTACATGCACAAAGCACATTTCTCTCCAGTTTGGCCAGTTTCAAACTACAAAAGCATTGACTGAAGTGGTGTGCTTTTGCATCCCCCTCTGGGTGGAATGTGTGGAGGAGAGTCAACACTGGTGAGAAAGAAAGCAATGTCAGACATGCTGATGGGAATCAAACTGATGCTATAGGTTATTTAGCTTTACACACAAACAGCTGCAGTTCGATTTGCCATTCGAGGCAGGTTGCTGTGGTGCAGACAGCCTAAAAGGATGACTTCATCCTGTTGCCTTCCCTCCTCCTGTACCCCCTCCCCTCCGCTGCTGCTGCAGCCATGCACCACACTGGGATAAACAAGCGCACAAGTGGACGTCTCCAGCAGACAGTGGCTCGGCCGCTGACACACACAGACACACACACAGACAGCTTACCTTTCTCCGTGCAGCCCGGCTCAAAAATCCGCTCAGCCGGCTCCGAGAAGCACTCGCTGCCTTTGGTCTTTAAGGTGCTTGTGGCCACCATGGTGCCGCCGAAGGTTCGTCCAGGAGCGGGCTGTCCTCCTGTGGCTCCAGCAGATCTGCCCCAGGAACGACACAACAACATCAGTGTAACAGCAGAGGTACCTGAATCCAGGTGGCTCGTTAAGGATCCGGACAAGCTCCCTCAGGCTGTTACAGCTTCACTGTTCAAATGCAGCCGCTTCTCACCCGCCCCCCAAAACAAGACCCACACTTCACCAGCTCACTACGAGCTCGTTCAGAACCGAAATCACTTACCTTAAACACGACTTAGTCCAAAACAACTTAGACTAAACTACTCCAAACCAGCACTTTCCTTCCACAGCAGCACAGCACAGCAAACTTCTCAGGAGTATTTATACCTTCTTCCACTCAGCTGACCAGAGGGTTGGACCAATCAGGGCACGCCTCGCGGTTTGATACACAGCTGGCCCCTGATTGGCTGCAAAATAGCGTTTAAATTAAAAAAATGGACCAATACTTGGGGAGGACGTTTGTGTTGCTACATGGACACCTCTGTTTGCGAGGAGACAGGATGATGTAAGGTTTATCTGTGTTTACACACAAAGACATCTCTGGTTTTCATTGAAACGCAGTGACAACCAGTCTAATCGCACGTATCATTATCAATAACATCTCAATAAAAGTAGGCTGGTGTCCCAGGATAGAGAAAATGGACCCCTGTGCACAGGCAGGTAAAAAGCCTGGCACCCTGTGTGTCTTTATGGTAGTCCTGCTTCTCTGTGTGATTGTTTTGTGTCTCTTTTTGGTGGTTTTGCAGTTCATTTTGAGTTCTGTGTCGTCTCTGTAGCTGTTGTGGGTCTTTGTGGTCTGTTTATAAGTCTGTGTGGTCAGCTGGAGTCTGTTTGTGGTTGCTGTGCACCTACTAGTATTCCTTTAATTGATTTGCAGACATGAAGTGTTAACAGTCACTTCATAACAGAAGCCCTGGCCCTGGAGCCTCTGCCCTCCTGGGCCCCTGCCCCTGTACTCGGTAGGCCCGTCCAGTAATCCAACCATGTCTGATGGTTCATTTTGGACATTTTGGCACATTAAATGAACATGAAAACTTTATTCCAGCCACAGAAACTTTAACCTCAAGATTTTTGGACTTAAGAGCCAAACAATATTTGAACACACGAGTCAGAGCTGGTATAGCCAAGCAGTAATAATGCACAAACAAGAGCTCTAGTTTCTTCTTACACAACATGCAACTAGTAAAATAGTCTTTGTGCAAAGACATACAGATTTTTCTTCTCTCATGAGGCTGTGACATAATTTCTTTTTATCTGATTTGTTTATACGGTAGATAACTGTCTTTGTGTTATACACTGAAACCTTCCAAAGATATAAAATAAAAGGAGAAACTGGCAGCGTTTCCAGCAGAATCAACACATTCAGAAAGCAGGAGTACGGTGATGCAGAGCATTGTTTTGGAGCTTCCATACACCAGTGTGCAACAGTCCAAGGCTCTGCAACAAAAAGAAGCTTTATAGGGGATTCCATATGAGAAAATACTCAAAAATAGAACCTCAGAGGATGAAAACTATTCACAGTAATGTCTGAAACATCTGTGGCCTGTTCCTTCACCTGAGAATGGAGGAAGCCCGCTGACCTGACCGGCTGAGCCCCGTATCTGTAGGTGTTATGCCTGTGAGCGTTTGGCAGGCACTGCATGGAGCACAGTTGTTCAGCTCATCAGCAGTTCATCCCTCACCAAACACAGATATTTCCTCCCAGTAACCGGAGCCCTTATCCTGCAGCAGCTCTGCTGGAATCCGGTGGACGAGAGAGAGAGAGAGCGAGAGAGAGTGTCAGCCTCCAGTCACAGGGGGAGAACTAGATCTAGTCACATGCTTTCACTGGTGTTACTGCCTTTGTGGATGCAGACGTGCACTGTGTAAAGTGGAAAAACTGGATTAAAAAGCTTGTAATTGAGGAGCAGGCTGTGTGATACATTTAAAAAGCCCAAAACTGAAATATCTCCATTATATTTATCAGTTAACCTTTTGATCTAATACACTTTTAAGCTGCATATTATCAGGATACACAGTCGATTGACCAAAGTGATTTTATGCCTCTAACATTGGCATTAATCCACTTTGCAGCAGTTTAGGAGGTCCATGCAGATGTTTTGTGTGTCTTTAATACCATTTTCTGTCTTTTTGTGGTCACATTGCAGCTCTTTGCAGCTGTGTAGAGTCCCTCTGCAGATGATTTGGCATCTTTGTTGTTGTTTTGTGTCTCTTTCTGGGAGGTTTTCTAGAGGAGCTCCAGGCCTGTGTCTGGTATTCCTGTTCAGTAATCCATCCATGATAGTAACATTGCTGACTATCTGATCAGCTGCGGTGTATGAAAACCTCTAAACGTGTGCAGTGGGTTTGAGAACTGCTTTGACCTTTACGGTATGTTGAAGGTCGGCCTCCATTTTACACTGTATCATATAAACTTAATGAGCAGGAACAGGCGTGTTAAATGTTTAAAATGACTCCTGCACAGGTCAGCCAAGTAAAACTGGAAATAAGAGCAAAAGGAACATTTTCATACACAGAATAAATCAGAACTTTTGAGTTTGACCTTCAAGGAAATATTTAAAACCCAATGTATTTGCTGTAAAATAGGATTTTTAAAAAAGCCATTTTTTGTAGGTGACAGCGCCGATACTGTCCAGATCGTATCTACAGCCAGGTGCATGTAAAACAGTAGCTACTGCTATGTCTGTAACAAATACATAGGCTTGTATATAAAGCAGTAAATTCAGAGCAACCCGTGTATGATCGGCGTAGAGGTGAATGTAAAAGTCAGACTTATGAAAAGTAAAATTTGTTTGCCTTGTTATCGGGACAGTCCAACATTGATTTATACTTGGACAGTTGTGTCTCTGGAGGATGTAACTATCCCAAAAAGAGTTTTAGTTTGCAGAATGAGAAAGTTATAAACCAAGTAAGTAATATGGATTAGTATGGAGCTCTGTATGCTACGTCAGAGTTCAGAGAGAGAGACTCTGCAGCCAAACCCTCAGAGACTGTCAGAGCTCTGCACCAGGTGCTCAGGATGTTTCTCATATGAATTTAGTTTTTTTTTTTTACAATAAGTGATTTGTGTGTCTCCTGATATACAGGCCACAGCTCGATAAAGGCTTCTAATCTAAGCTGACAGTCTGTGACAGTCAAAGAGCAGCGTGATGTGAAGCACCTGTGACCTTCACTCCCTGCTGGTAAGGCAAGTCCACAGAAATCTGCTTGTGAATTTGCTCCGTGTGCCAACTCCTGTTTCCCTGATTGAGCCAGCAGATAAAAGGTGTTGTGTTTCAGGCTACTAATCCTGTGCAGATCAGAATGAGCCCTCTGTTATCCCCGGTCAAGACGCCCAGTATGTCAGGCTGGTGCAGCGCTTTTCCAGGTAGGAAACGTGCTGTGCCCTCCCTCGTGAAATGTAACAACAGAGGCCTTTTTGCTGAGTTGCATTTCTCTATCACAGAAGATAGGCTGCATGTGGAGGAGTAGTCCTCGTGCACATCAGAGCTCTGCTGCTCTTGCACACAGCTGACTCCTCTCTAAGCAAAGAACTGAGGCCTCTCAAGTAAAAGACAGGGAGTAAATTAAATACTGCACAGCAGTTTTCAGTTTTTCTCTGAGCTAATGGAGAAAACAATCACTGAGTCATTGTTTACTCAAATAAATAATGTTCTTTTGCTTTCTGCTTCACTCGTCTCCTTCCCTCATCTCCTAGACCCTCCAGATGAGGCCTCCGCAGACCTCAAATGATATCATGTGATCTTCAAGTGCCCAACGACGTCAGCATTATAATTTATCCATAAATGTTTTGAAAAGGTGGGAAACAACACCTGGCTTTAACGCATATTAATCTGGAATACTGCAAAATCGCACTCTGACATTACTACATGTCACTGGTGGCTGAAAAATTGTGTTTGACATAAATGAGCAACATGAGGCAACAAAATCGACCAAAGGCCAGTGGAAACCAATAAACTTTGTTTACTGGACAAACACAGGTGCTACACTGACAGACATGTTCTCTGCATTAACACCAACAATCCACCACCAGTTACAACAGGACATGCTCTGGATGTTCTATCTTCTAATTCAGTCCCGTCGCTGTGGCACCGCTCCAGACGATCTGAGGATCCAGTCACCTGATGGAGAGTTCTACAAACTTGTCCTCCAGAGCAAAAACTGCCATTTCCATTGTGCATTGTCATTACTGTGCTACTTTACACATTCAGAGACTTCATATGTGGACTCAGCAAGGCCCCTGAAATATGAGCACTGCACCTAAATTCATTTGAAATGCAGCTTTTATATTGATTTATTATTTGTCAGCCACATTGAAGCTAGAAGTGAGAGGATCCCACACAACGAAGACGAGCAGACCTTTGGCCACAGCTGGTGAGGTTTTCCAGTTGTGTGTGATGGTCTAGTGCCAGTCTGGTCACCGTCTCCTGGACGGGGAAGCTGTTGCCCAGTCCGTAATAACGCTGTGTGTAAATCAATGCAAAATAAAGGTCATGGCTCCAAAACAGCAAAGGTCACTCAGGTCTTTTTTGCTATGAAGTAGGATTCACACCATAAAAAAAGATTTAGTCACGCTGGTTATGAGCTTATCTATAAGAACGCTATGTTGTGAAGACCGAGCAGGGAGACGGGGTGAACTACTTTACACTGGTTGTCCATATTTCACTCCTCTGTCAACAAACTGTCAGCTAATGGCTTGTGTTGACTGTCTGCGCCCTCTGGTGGTGAGACGCCGAACTGACAACGCTGCTGCTGCAAACTGTGGTTCTACAGCCACATCAGAAAAGCTAATATTAATAAATAGAAAGGCTGAAAACGACACTAACTCTTAGATCCTTTTACAGCTACAATGGTTCACGTGCATGTCAGATATTTTTACATCACCATACTTCATTGTTATTAGTTTCTATAACTGCTGAAGGATGCGTTCAAAACTCATAGAACCATTTACACCCATTCAAAAGCAAAGTAATGAATAATCAAATATGAGTTTAGGACAAAGTTTGAACTTCACAACCAAGCCATCTTAGTGTTTTATTGAGGAAACTGAGGTTGAGAACTACAAATCCCAGCCATAAAGCAGCTACAGTGTTTTAAACACGCTCCTCTTCATGCGCTTTACTTAGTCCTTTGCTTGAATGTTGAACAAAATTAAACCACCACGTAAATTGATATTACTGCAATTACAAGGCAAATAAATGAAGGGTAACAAAAAGACCAAAGGATAATTATACAACTGTGAAATGATTCATTACATCAAACATGCGGTGGATCTGAGGTCCGTGCACTGTACAGAGAACGTGTGTAGCGGTTAAGGTTGAGCATATGCTACCGTTTCAAAGAGAGGTGCAGTTCAAAAAATCCCCACTGATTAATTCTGAGATTTCACAATCACAGTCACACGCCCTGCTTCATAAAGCTGCTCCCAACTTACAGAATCATACAGGAGAAACACTGTTGGACACTTTCTGCTCCACACAATTCACCCACAAAACAAAAGAACATTAAACATCAGCAGCTCCTCCAGGCGGCCAGTGTGTGGGCGACGGCTGGGACTTCTCCACTGGCCACATCATCGCCCTCGTTTCTTATCTCGCAGCAGCTGAAACACACACAACAACAGAGGCAACTGAAGTAATCGCATCTGTGAGATCAACAAGCGTTATCTCTATCTGAAAAGGGCTCAGAACAGATCTGTGGCCTGGCTTTTGAGAGCTTCAAACAGCAGTAGGTGCAGTATGGGACAGTGTGCCTCCACAGTCAGGACGTTTCCCACATGTTCTCTGATTCAAACGTTCATCTGAAACCACTCTCCTGGCAGCAAACGGCCTAACGCTGCAGTCTGACAAACCACTATCTTACATTAAATGCTGGACTGATTGGAGGACTCATTCCTACGGAGGAAGTAGCTGATAATAAAAAGCAGTTTGTTAGCGAGTGTTTGGAATTCTAAGACTTAGTGCAGAGTACTGCAGTGTTTACAAAGCTACAATCCAGTGAAATCCGGTGCGTAACTATATAAACACGTTCTTCCTCAGCAGAATTCCTCAAGCACAACTTCATTTCCCTGTGAAACTCTCAGCCAGCCATCTAGGCCAGATAGGAAAGGAAGGCAGGACATTTAATGCTCTGTTTTGTTTTGTTTTTTGCATAGGGGGCAGAGTGTGTGTATAAACCACGTGCACCCGTAGATGTGCACATGCACCGCCCCAACAAACACGCCTGCAGATGACATTTACTGGCCGCACAATAGCTCCTGTCCAAAATAATGTATGTTTATGTTAGGAAGTCCCTATCTGTCAAACCCTGCTGCTTGTTGGAGGGCGGGGGAGTCAAATCACAGGAAACACCTTCTGTTGCCCGGCGAAAGCCCCAAAGACCACACAGCACAATGAGATATTAAAAGCCTGTAATGTCCCTGGAATCACTGCAAGTCTGTGGAGAAACAGCTCTACCACGAGATGGAAGTCAGGCAGGAAACACACAGGGGGACGCTCACCACTTTCTTCTCCGCCTGACGGCTTCACGCCGAGGAGCATGACGCAGTCTTTGGTGCTCTCGGGTCTGCTCTGGAACGATGCGCTGTGGAGGCAGAGAGACAGAGGGATGGTTGTTCACACACCTGTATGGTTCCCAGGTGCAGCTGTTTTTCAGTACTACAGTATGGAGTACTTTACCAGAAGATTTACAATTACAGCCAGAAGAACGGTGCTGGTCATTGATGACTACTGAATGGGAATACTGGGCACAGGTCCACAGAAACATGAGGGGCTCACCACATAATAAAAAAAAAAACAGATGCAAAGCAACTACAAAGCTACAACACATCCATAAGAAGACACAAACAAACCACATCATCACTAGGGGCCTCTTACAGGTCTGTGTCCACTGTCTCATAATGGTGCTGGTTTGGCCTTCTGGTTTGAACTAGCTCTGTCTATCAAGCTGCTTGTTCTTGGATGTTTGAACCTGTTTTAAAAGCCTAACCAACAGCAGGGGCTGCAGATTAGCTCTCAGCTAGACGCCCCACGCACACTGCACCGGTGTACCCTGTGTGACAACGGGTCCCTGTGGAATAAACAAATTAAATAACATTTAAAATATAGTGCTGATTGTCCAGACTTACTTCTCGAGCCCAGTGTCAATGGATTCTGTTGAACAGAAGACAAGAGACGCATGTATGTTTCACTGATGTATGGAGAATTACACCTGTTGGTTATAAAGAGCCAACAACAAGCCACAGCACAAACACACAGTGAAATATTAGTCCTTTTGCATGTACCTGTGTGATTGTGGATCTTCTTGCTTTTGTATTTGAGGACGACGGCAGCAGCGAAAGCTCCGACCAGGCAGACAGGCAGCAGAATCCACCACAGCCTTTTGTCTGAGGGTCAGACAGAAGGAAACATTCAGAGACATCCATCACATTCAGCTTCTCTAATCAGTGTCTAAGAAGATGAACAGGGGGTGTAGCAACTGCTAGTACGTTACCTGGTTTCTTCTCCTCACTGGTCTGAGAACCTATCAAAACATTAGCATGATTAGCTTCCTGCTCCTGTCACCAAACAGTACAAGTAAAAACGATTTAAGTTTTAACCGTATTCATTCTTCATATGCAGCAACACCATCCTCAGGTGTGGCAGCACAGTACTGTAGAGTATTCGTGCACCTTACCAGAACCTTTCTCTGTGGCCTTTTCATTCTCCCCCGATTGCACCTTTGGATGTGGAGTGGTTCCATGTGTGCTCATATTGAAATGACCTGATTCAATCAATAAAAACAAGCTGATCAACATGTTCTCACGCCCAGAGCTCCACTCAAACAGATGTATCAATCAAAACTACATCATGGATACCAGCTGGTAGTTTTGATGTACATCTACAAGAGGCCACGAGGGTGTTTGTTTGTAGTCATGTCATATTACACTGGCATTTGTAAATGTTGACTTATGAATGCAAAGAACAAAACAAGAGGAAACGGAGGAGTACAAACATCAGGTGTACTGTACCTGGGGTAGGGGGAGGGGTAGGGGTAGTTGCGCCTGCAGACAGTGAAGATGGGTGCATCTTAATGTCTAAACCTTTATTCTGACCAAAGAAATCATGTGCCATACTTTTGAGACCGTTTCTTTTTGGGGACATACCTTTGCTTGTCTTTGGTTTTTCAGTGCTCTCGTCTTGTCCTAACAAAATGGAAACTAGTTCAAATTGTGCTTTAAACACAGATTACACCCTGCACCATCACGCCATCCCAGGAGAACTAATACATCATTACTGAGTGTAATAATCTCTGCTGGTACTATGAAGTGTTTTCTTACCTTGAGGTTCCTTCGTGCTGATCTGTGTCACAGTCCTAGTGTGGACATGTGGGGTTGGGGATGGAGTTGGAGGAGAACTGGGCAGCAAATGTTTAGAACCCAAAGCTACACAAGCAAACAAACGTGTGTTTAAAGATAACTAAGCTTAAACATGAATGTGTTTGTTGTTCTGGCCAGAACCTGCTGCTCCTAGTCTGCCACATTTTTGTTTTACTTTTTATTTTTCCGTCTACACAGCAGGACAGGAGGCCGAGCTCTCAGGCCCAGTGGTGCAACACAGCGCCCGCTGACATGGTTCAATCTGCCGCCATCACACTGACTCATGTCATTGCTCGTCTGTGTGTCACCACCAGGCCGATGGTGTGAATCAGTGTGGAGAAAGCTTACTTCCATTGTCTGTCCGGTTAAGATCTGGAGCTGTAGAGACCGTCACAGTCTGGTTCGGAGCTTTAGCTGTTGTTTGAACAGTTGTCGTATTTGATGTTAACAGAGACTTTGTTTCTAGGAAAAAGAAAAGGGGAGTGAAGGAGCTGTTTTCAGGAACAAGGCCGAGTCTATACAGCATCAGTGTCATGGTTTCTGCCCCAGCCCGAGCCATGTTCACACTTCCTCAGTCTCCTGGATAAATATGGAGCTCTGCTGAACTTTCTTTCCTCAGCCATGCACCAGATCTACCAGGGGTACATCCCAATTCCCTTATTTGATTGTTCCTCATTTCTTGATCCTCGCTCAACAGGGAAGTTGCTCTATTCAGCCATCTTGAAAGACGTCCCAGAGCTCTTCTTCCTGCTTTTAGGAGCGAGGATACATGAGAGACATGGGCTGACACGTCCCTCTCTGAGAAATCAGTTGGTGACTGGACGCTTCAGGTGAAGGATCGGGGAAAAGGACATAAACGTTTCCTTGGTTCCTTTCTCCTTGAATTTTTTTCATTGCATCTTATGTGGGTGGGACCACGACACAAGTAAAAATCAGAACTGAGAGAAATGTGGGTTTAACTAAGGAAACTGGGATTTACCCTGTGAATTCTCCTCCTATCACTGTACGCTCCCCCGCCCACCTACACACCTGTTCTCCTTTGCTCGTCCAGCTTCTCAGCATTAAACCTGTGTCCCCACTCCTTTGCCAGCTGAGTGTCCAGCCAACCTGTGGTTTGTTCCTGGTGCCTGACCCTACCTCTCTGTAAAAGACCTGCTCTCCTAGTGAGGTCACCTGACTGCAGCTGCCTGCCGACCTGTGTGCGAGTCCTTCCTGCTGCTTGTATCGGTTACTGTGACCTTCTGTCACTCACCGTTCTCAGAAGCGATGGTGGTGTTGACAGGATCTGTAGGAGCTGCTGGTGGAGCTGGAACAGATATAAAGAAAGACATATGAATGGCTGTGTGCAGTAACAGCTGTAGAGAAATAAAAACCAGGACCGGTCAAGTTTCCATATAATCAAAGTAACGACAACACAGGAGGAAACAAAACTATACGTTTCTACTTTGTCTGTTTGTTGCCTGCTACAAAACCTGAATAGACACATTTTCTTTGTCTAACATTTTCTACAACTTAAAAAAAGTTTTAGGAAATACATTTGTTTGCTTTGTAGCAGAGAGAATCTCTTAGCTTAGCACAGAGACTAGAAATAGGGACAAACAGCTGCAAATAAGGGTTTTACCTAAAATGTAACCTGTTACTGTAACGCTATACTTACATGTAGATGACATCACGCTTACTGCTGTTGAATTCACATCTGATGAAACTACAAAACAGAAACACAGCTGTGAGTTTGCACTCGTGTCACACCACAGACGTGGAGCAGCTACTCGCTGTCTGAAGCCCAGAAGAAATTTGAACACCTGATGTTTTTGTGACAGGTGCAGACAAGTGGGGTCATGACCTGCTGAGGAGCCACTTTGTTGCTGCAGACAGGTTTTGGGCTCTGACTTCTCACATTCGGTCTGAGGTTCCACTGCACTATTTGACATATGTTATCAGTTTGTAAAACTCAGGCAGATTCTCTATTTTAGGTTCATATCTGCATATTTGCTTCTTTCCTCTCTGGCACAGCTTCAAAGTGCAGCGTCTGCCACAGAGGCGTGCCCTCGCTCCCAGTGTCAGACTGGGGATGAGAAATCAAGACAGCGGTGGAGGTGGATATCCTCTGCTCCAAGTGCTGCAGCGGTGTGAGGCTGCATCCTGTCCCAGACACACTATTGTTGTCCTCTGAGCCGTACAGTCCCACTTCCTGTCTTCACCGTCGTCAGCTGTGGCATCCTTGCACCCCAGAGCACATCTCTGTGCCATCATGCAACTTGCTCTGGCTCCACGAGTCTGGTTTCCAGAGCTGCTGTTAAGAGTTTTGGGGGAGGTCCAAGTGCAGTCTGAAACATTTTCTCAAGAATTTTATAAATCATTTAACAAAAGTAGAAGTCACCTGAAACAAGTCAAAGTCAGGTCTGGGCACTGAGTCCATTCTCTCCTCTGGTTCATTTGAAACAGGTCCAAGTCTCGCTCATGTTGGAACAACCATAAAGCTGAGGCTAAAGTTTTTTAAGTTATTTTAAAAAAGCCCAAGAAAATTTCTTCCCACAGGTCATTCAAGACAAGTCTGTGTCAAGTCTCAAAAGACAAATCCACATCATGTCTGATGTATTTCAGAACAGTATCGAGTCATCAAGGCTTAAATTCTTAAACCACTAGGGACAAGTCATAGTCCATTTTTAAATACTTACTGTCCAAGTCAAGTTACATAAATGTCCATAAAGATGCAGGTCTGTTAAAGTGAAACAAGTCATTTTAATAAAAGGTTTTAGTGCTTTTTATCTCATTTTTCCAAAGCTAAGGCCAAGTCATTTCACCACAAACCCTATTGATCAGATGTCTGACAGGCGGTGCGAGGTGGTGTTAGCTCCTCCATGTTTTAATCTGACTAATTTCACCAGGTCCAAACACACAGTTTATTTCTTTTACATCTGATCAGCATACAGTAGTAAATTAAACAGTTAACGGCCAAACATTCGCTTTTCCTCATCATCAGCTTAGCAGTATTGTTTATATGTGGTGGAGAAACACTGAGGCTCCGTGCGCTGGGTGTTTCCTCCAGATGTTTACCACCAAACGCTGGAAGTAGATTTGTTGCCAGTCGGGACATTTCAGTCTCAGGACAATGATGTGCTTTGTCTATGAGAGAGGGGGCAGGTTGGTTCCCACTGGTTCACCTACCACTCCCCTCACCAAGCAACAAGCACATCAAGAGCCTCCCTCTTCTCTTTCCTTCAACCAGGAACTGCTGATTTTGATCCTAATAAAAAGATAATACCGTCTTCTTTTTGACTAAATATGTCAAAATAAAAACACTACTTATGACCTTTTTTCTTACTTGTTAGTACAAAAGCCTGCAGTGAAGGTGGAGAACAAGTGGAGGTTCACACAGAGCTTATCTCAGCCTGGAGAGACGGAAATGCTCCGAGTGGACACCTCACAGATAACGTACAGAGCATGAGCGGCTTTTGACCAACACTGTGATCTCTATCTGTCCACACACCAAAACAAAGCTAAACGACATGACCCAAAAAACCCACGAAGAAGACATGTAACATTACTGCTGAACGACACAGGAAAGTTTTAATTTCTCAGGAAAACGGAGCAGTGGAAATGTTTAGACACTAAATAAACAAAAATCACTCAGCTCTACAATATAAAATAAGTCAACAAAAAGCCTGACCTGGCTGAGACCTCTGAGAGCCTTCAGCTCTAGAGCCCGAGCCCCAGCCAAAGGCAGCTCCCCTACCTGGTGTGAAGACGTGCACAGATGCTAGCAGGAGCAGGACGAGAACCCTGACGGTCTTCATGGTGATTCTGTGGCTGTGAACCCCTCCGACTTCTCCCTCAGACACCAAGTGAGTGGCCTGTGGAAAAGGTGTCCGCGCTGGGGCGCTCCACCACTGGTGCTTATTTTAGCACTTCCTTTGGATAAAGAAGGGGAGGAAATACACCAGCTTCCCTTCCTGACATAAACTGGGTGGCTGTGGAGACCAAGGCGACCTCCGTCTGTTCAACAGGGATCTCAGCTCTGAGTATCTGAATGTCAACTCCTATCACTTATTTTTCCTGCTCTGATACCAGTGGAGCAGGCGGGAGGAGGCTGGGACGGCGTCGGTGGAAAAACAGCATCATCTGTGATTGTTGAGATAAAGGACAGTGTGTTGGGTTTCATTGTATTATAAGAAAGATGTGACAGTGGTGCTGATTCAGACCATCCCCTGACAAACAAGACACACGTTTCAGATTCAACTGTCACATGCATCAATTACACAAACTAAAAAAAACTACACACAGACCGGAGAGCCAGCCATGATGTCTCCCCTCTCTTCACAGTGCCTCAGGTAGATGGAGACAGAGGGATCAAAATACAGGGTATTATATTGACTTCAGTGGATAATTTGACTCTCGGTTGTTTTTGGACAAAAATACATTATTTCACAAGTGGAGGATGATCGTGGCTTCATAACAAAGTCATTGGGACTGTTATACGACTGCAGCGCTGGGGGGGGGGCTACTCTGAAAGCAGAGTTTTCATACTGGGAGAAGTGAAGCTACAGCAAAGTCAGCACAGGGAGTGGTTAACTGAAGCTACCTGGGCTGGTCCCAAGGACAAAACTACAGGAATGCTAGGGGGTTTGCTGCAAACAAATCTGGATGGAGCAATGGAAACAGTACTCAGACCCCTCATGACTGCTACTCATGACACAATGTATATTATATTTTTGGATTATAATTAATGAAGTATTACTGTGTACATCACATTTAATGTTGCAGCTCATATAATCTGAATTACTGCTTGGTAATTTAATATTTCCACTGGGGATCAATTAAGTCTTATCCATCAATCTATTATCTACACCGCTTATTCCTGAACAGGGTCATGGGGGGTGGAGCCAATCCCATCTGACACTGAGTGAGAGGCGGGGCCCAACCTGGACAGGTTGTCGGTCTGTCACAGGGCTGACACGTAGACAAACAACCACACACACTCACACACAACCACACACACTCTGCTAACCTGAGTCGGCCCGGGCTTGAACTTTATTGCTGTGAGGCAACAGTGCTAACCGCTGCACCCCTGTGCCGCTAATTGAGTCCTATGATTAGGTTTTTATTTTTTAAATGAATCTGATTCTGAAAAGTAATTGTGCAATATTTGCCTCTAAACTGTAGTGAAGTCAAAGTATGAAGTAGCAGAAAAAGAAAGTACTCAATGTACAGACACCTCAAAAGTACCTGTGTAAATGTACCTGGTTCCAACGCTGCCTGATGTGGTGTTGTCTGACCACAACTAAAGCAGTTGAACTTACACCTCGTTAACAGCTCGAGCACCGGCCTGAACCACGGGCCTGTCTTTTACTGCTCGCAGCAGAATGAGCAGCCTCTCCAACTCTGTAGGGCAACATAGGACCAGAACTGTTTGTGGTAAATATGAATGTAGTGTAAGTACTGGTGGTTCAGCTACGTCTCACTCCTCTGACGTCCCACATTATCCCTCTAAGGCCACAGAGCCGAGCTCCTGCTTTATGGGAGGTCCACTTAACAGGAAGTCAGTTTACTTCCTTTGAGCTGAGCATTGTTTGATTTCAGTTGAAGAGACCAAAAGAAGACGTGAGAAACCAGGGACAAGAAATACAGTCTGCCTCAGTATATTTATTTGTGAGGACAACTACTACAGACTGCACTGGCAGGCTGGAATAATTTGAAACAAGCCATAACAGAACATAAACATGTTCCAATCCACACTTTCTGTTTGTATAAGGGGGAAGTCTCCTGTGTACACAGGTATTCTTGCACAATCTTGGCTCTGTTTTCAGACTTTAATCAAAGAAGTCACCAAGGCTGATGAGGAGGAAACACCTTTGCTGCAAAGCTGCCAAGGAGCAGTTTCCTATATAGATTCGTGGCAGCAGCGTTTGTCAGTTGAGAGAAACTCAACACGGATTCACTGCCAGAAACCGAACTCGCCGCACGCTCGCTCACACACGCACGCGAGAAAAAGGCTGAAGTTGAAATTCATGCACATTTTTATTGAACAGTTATATAAAATACTTTTCATAGTTGCAAGTGCATGCCTCATCTGCCAACAGTTCTGAAGTTAAATTACAAAAGCAAGGCTTCATGTCGTGTAGTGAATTACTTGGGCACTTAAGCAGTTCTTAAAAAAGATCAAAGTATTTTTTGTTTCATTTTAAAGTACTGAGCAATATCAAACCCGTAACTGATATACAAAGCAGAGATCCAAATAATAATCATAATCAAATTACACTTTCTGTGGCACATTTACAAAACAGAACAAAACCGATTTACCTGTTATATGACACAAACAGCTAGTCATGCATTTTTGAGTTCCACATGTAACCACACACCTCACAACAACTGTCAAACATGCTTAATTGGACTGTGTGCACTTACAAGCACAAGTTAAAAATAGGATTTCTCATCCATCTTAGATCAGTAAATGCTTCAATTACAAAAGAAGTCGAAGGCATAGAGCATCATGGTGCTAAATTGAAAGTATGCAAGGTATACGTTTCCAGTATATGTTCACTAAAGCGCAGTATATTTCAAAACAGGCCTCCACAGCCAAGGTATTCAGATTTTCTAGTTCCTTTGTTTGATTTTTTATAAAACATGCATAGGCAGACACTTTATTGTATTCTTTTGTTGTTGTTTTACACAATATAGGTTCTCTATTTTTACTTTGTTCGCAATACTTAGAAAGAGAAAAATTAATACTCAGTTCCAGCAAGCCACGATAAATCTACCCCCCCCCCCTTCCAAAAGAGACAAAAAATAGACATGTCTGCAAATGATAGATAGTTAAATTCCAGTTATGAAACTCAAGAAAATAGGTATTCATTACCGAGTTATTTAGCCATTATACAGAAAAATCAGGTCAAAGCACACACCAAAAGAACCTGAGGTAAGCAGAATATGTACAAAACCATAAAACGTTCCGTTATTTGGCATTTCGACAACATTGCAACATTCTTTTTAAGACTGCCTAATTCGGTTTAGAGCTATTTTAAAAGAGTAGCAAAAAAAAGTTAACAATAAATAGTCCTTATTTAGTTTGTACACCCTTATATGTTAAAAACATCGTCTCATGTTCTGTCCTTTTAGTGCTGTCTTTTTGTAAACGTACAATAGTTAGTAAGAAGTGACGCGACTTTCCGTTTCGGTGTGAATGAGCAAGGCTCTTCGGAGACAAAAGAAAACTGGTGGCCTCTCTGTTTCTCTCTGACAGACTGGTGTGCGGCGACATCAGGCCCGGTAGCGGCCTGACCGCTCAGAAATGTGAACCGGCAATAACTTAGCGGATTGGACTAGGAACTAAGATTATGAAGGCATATCCAAAGACTAGCATGTGAGATGTCCCCCCAGTGTGAGCCATTGATGCCTCCCCCCGACACACTCCAACACTCTTAACCCTTTGCCCCTTTTCAGCGGTGGCGGGCCGTGCTGAAGCTGGGGGCGGGGCGGCCCCGTCAGCCGCATCCTTTCGTTGATACGGTCCAGACCCTTGGCCTCCTCGAAGCTGGTGATCTTGTGCTGGGGCGAGAAGCCTTTGATGGCTGTTGAGATGCAAGGAGAAGGGGAGACGGGAATGAATCAGGAGCGACTGAGAAGGGACAGATGAAACAGTGAGAAGAATGGGGCCACTCTCGCTCACACTCAGCCACACGTCACCAGATCTGTCTCGGCTCTGGCTGATCTCGGATCATAGGCAGGTGTTGTAACAAAAACAGCAAATCATCCATGAAAAATGAGTGAGAAGCCTGAACATCCTACCAGCACCTCTACAGCTCACTAAACAGGTTATCTCTTTGTTTTTTAATCAAAAACAAAGTGTAAATTTCTCACCAAATTATCTGTAACTTTGTGATTTTTCTAAAAATGTGGCCTGGCAGTGAGCAGAGACTAGCTGTAACACTTCTCTGGATGTTAGCTAGGCCGAGCTAACGAGCCGCTGACTGTGGCCTTACACTGGATGAACACATGAGTGGAGTCCATCCTCAACAAGGAGGTGGATGAGCACATCTCCCCAAACTGTTCCTTCAGCTCAACGTGACAACTAAGTCTTCACACGGCTGTTTAAACGTGTCGTGTTTGTAGGGGACAGCAGCATATACTGGTACTGAATGGTGGCTCAACAACAAACAAAATTAATAGAGATAACTCATTTTTATGAAATGACAACACCATTTATCAGAGCTTCAGAATTAAAGATAACTCATTTTTATGAAATGACAAACAACACCATTTATCAGAGCTTCAGAATAACGTGACTGGACACACAAAAGGATTCAGTGATCCTTCTAAATCTACAAAGGGCGCTGCTGGCATCAGGGTCAACAGGTTCTCGCTGTGCCATCGATCCGTGCTGGACTCGGCGTCTGTGACAATCTGGGACCATGTAATGGTCGTCCTGCGCTGGCAGCTTACAAATATTAGACACATTAATTACAAATGACAAATTTAAAGTGCGGCACGTTCCAGAGCACCCGAGGACCCCGAACGTCCAGCTCACCCCGTCACGTCACAGGGAAGAAGGGGATGATCAAAAGAACGAGGGGAGTCAAAACAAGACAAAAACAGCAGCGTGGAGCTCACGGAGACATTCACTTCCACAGAAAGGGAGCACACGAGACCGAGCTCACGTACAGAGACGCCACAGAGGTACTGGGTGCTAACCACTTGTCTCGTCTGCTTGGAGCATGCAGCAATTCAAGGTTTCGCTGGAGGTTATGAGGGGTGGGGGTCACAACACCGTTTAGACTAAAAGGCCTGAACAGTGGAGTTTGTTCACTTCCACTTTGAATAAAACCATTTCTTTATTCAGTTCAGTGAAATATGAAGTGTTCCAGCGAGGAGCCGTTCCCATATTCACACCAGCCCAGTTCAACTACGACAGGCTGCGCTACCTCCACCGTTCATACAGACTGGGGGTCTTGATGGGAATCAAACTACGATTACAAAGACCCTTCACTAGAATGGGGGGGGGGGCGGCTTCGTTTTAGAGGACAAACTGGGGCATGATGGGTAGTTGTGTTGCTGCATAGCACAGGTCAGACACAGGTTATTAGCAGCGCACAGGAAAGAACACGACACAGCAGGGCCACAGAGGATCCACATGGAGAGAGAAGCAGAGAAGGGTCTCGACACTACAACGGACTGTCCTCTGTGGGGCTCGAGAGGAAGTACTGGACACGTTCAATGTAAATAGCAGCTGGCAAACTACTATTTAGCTCGCAGTTGAGGTTGTTCTTGCGCCAAAGCAGATGTTAATAATTATTTTATGGAGAATCCAATTTGGATTTCAAGGCCTCCTGTGGGGCGTTTGGCTCCTCCAATTCAGATCCAACTCTAAGGAAAACTACGTGCTCGTTAAATTCAGAGAACTGCAACAACAATGCACAACTGCTTCAGTGGTTTCAAAGGGGAAATCCCATTAGAGGCTTTCATAGCAAGACTTCACTGGACTGTGTGAGGGCAGAGCAGGGGGGACGCTCGGTCAGAAGGCAGGAGATGAATCACAGCTATGACCTTTCTCTCACAGATGTCATACTGCTTCTAGAGCGCTGAACCTGTCTCTATTCTCCTCCATCTACAAAGCAACATTCTAGATACTATAGTCCAGCCAGTGCTCGATCTATACTGTAGATATGTGAGAATTTAAAACAATCAAAGCACCACATGATATTTTGGAAGGACGTGTTCAGCCCTCCGGTAGAGTTCAGAGACTCGTGGAGTCAATGCCACGGTGCACTGAAGCCGTTCTGGTGGCCCGACACCGTATTGGAGACATTTATTGTCGGGTTCTTTTTTCATTTGTCGCTACAGCCAAATCTCTGGGCCAGGCTGACTCAGCCAGCGTCTCGTCGGAGCTGCCAGAACACCTGATGATACCCATGTATTTACACCTCCCACAGTACGTGAGTGTGAATTTGCATTTCCTCAAGTACAACCTGCTAACCTGGATTATCTCAGGTTTCTGTGAAAGATGCATCAACGGCAATATTTACACATCAGACATGAGAAGTAGAACTGGGCTGGTATTACAGTCTGAACCAGTAGAGATACAGGAGCAGCGTTCTCCAGGACATGCTCGTTTTGCTGGTCACTAAGAAACCCCACACGAGGCGTCTGCTTTGCTCTCACTCATATTCACAGGGTGCCCTCTGCAATGAAATCTGTGCTATGAAATCCATTCCCCTTTAAAACACATGTGACCACAGGATACCCTAGTTACTTACTTCTTTCCTGTTAATACTGTGCCACATTTTGTTAGCCCAAACACCCAACACACTATCAAGCACCAGCGAGATGGATGAAAACCCAGCGGAGCCCTGTCTATTGCCATGAAAAGCAACAGAAGAGGGCAGCCAGACCCATTTACCTTCGTCAGCCTCAATAGCTTCAATAGTAGCTGAAGAGAAGAAGAGGGGGGTTGCAAAACGAATGAGAGAAGTGAGCAGAGGAGTTCATTTTGTCCCAGGAACAAGTCAATGAGTAGCAATGGCAGCCAGTGCCAACAACAAAGGTTAACATCAAATCCATAGTTTATGACAAAGGACACATGGATGTTAGTAAGGGGGGGGGATGAGCCTTAGCTTTATGACGAGTTCTAGATCTGTAAAGGGAAAGTGACAGTTTGTGGCAGCAAACAACCTCGCAGAGATGACCGCACCTTTGAACAGGTCTGACAGAGAAGCCAGAAAACATGAACAGTGCAGGGACGAACACTGAGCAAATACAACGAGATCTAGCTGGAGATACAGAGGTTCCTCACTGTTATGCAAATAAGAGCACACATGGAAACAGGGAAAAGGTCTGACTGCGGGGTCCATGGAGCGGCGCTGCTGTTGTGTTGTGTGCAGTGAGAAGCAGCAACTGTTGATATGAAATATCAAAGTGCTGGTGTGCTTCTGCGAAGTGTGAGGAGAAGAACACCACTGTTTTAACCACTTACCATGATTTTAGAGTCATCCCTGAGATCAGAAATAAACACGACGTATAGATCAGTCCTACACAGACAGGGATGAGGCAGCACAGTAACGGCTACACACTGGTGAAGTATGAGGATGAGAAATGATGCAACAAAGGCACAGAACTGACAGAATGGTGACGGAGTCAACACGACAGCAGAAGCACGCTGGCCTCGACTTGGAGGAGGCAGCCATGTGATTCTACCGGCGTTGCAACAGGAATCTCTACTCCATTATACACATCCTGTAACTGGTACCTGTTCACACAACTCTCTCTGTTCACTAAATGTTACCTGTGTGTGCTTTAATACAGAGGTAAGAAGTGGCACTTTAATGTGAAAGCTGTTGGATTACGTGCCATTTCTGTGTGCAGACTAGCATCATGTGCCTCCTGCGAGGTGCTAGCTGAGGTTTTGTGAGAACTGTGAGAGGAGAGGGATGTTGTCTGGATTTGTGCTTTAGTCTGTGAATGAAAAGGCAGACAGTGGCGATGGCCTGTTCATTCACAGCCAGGTGTGTCAAGTCCCAATTCATCCTTTGAGTCACAGAGTCCCGTCGGAGCGCTGCTGAGACCCACACCTAGTGCTTGAATTTGTAAAAATCAGAAGTCCAAGGCAATTTGAAGTGTTTGTAAAGAAAGCCTCGACCTCCCTGCTGCAGCAGCTTGTAAACTTCGTAAGGCGGAGAGGGCGAACTGAACTCTAAACTCATCTCACAGAGACAAAGTTGAAAAACACGGAATACTTGCACAACCAATTATACCTGCAGTTTCTAGGGAGAAAAGAGAAAGAAAAAGATACAGGTAATATTGGAGATTAAACCAGAGGAACACAGGGAGAGACGGGGATGGGATGACAGGGCAGTAATGGAGAGAAACATCTGAGAAGGAACAAAGAACATCTGCAGAAAGTGTTTCACATTGTCTGGGCAGGGGGGACTTGATACTACTCTGTAATACAGTCATGCTGAAAGACAACTACACAGTGCAGCTGTTATTGCTTTGCAGTATTTAAACACACAGACTACAGAGGACACTGACTGATGCTGCCAGAAACATGCAACTACACCTGCACTATCACTTTGAGGCAGCTTGTAATTCCAGGACCGTCACTGAGGGAAAAGAGAAGACGTCTGTGCATGCAGTATTCCCTAAACACTGAGCTAGCACTTTACTCAGGGTACTGCTGTGTATGTAGAATCTGTGAGCATGAGAGAATCTGCTCTGGGGGCCATCGCTGGGGGTGTCAGGATACTCGGTGACAGTCTTACCATTCTGCAGCTTCTCTTTGCCACCGGACAGCACTCCGCTTGGTAGCATGCCTGTGGGGGTCAGTCCCTTCAGCGTCAGCACGCTCTCACTCTCCTCTCTGAAATATCAACGCAGAACGAGTCACGTCATTTACTGTGCATCACTCGGAAAACATTCTGAAATGTGTGTTCTGGACATTCTTACAATTGCTAAAACACAGTCATGTCAGATGCAGAACACACTTGGGTGCAGATCGTTTAAATGCTCATCCAGTAGACACAGAACAACACGAGTGTCATTTGAAGCTGATGGATCCAAGTGCCACAGGTAGCTCTGCTGTTGGTCTCCAGCTACTTCGGAGGGAAACATCTGGCTCTTTAGCTGCTAACTGCTTCATTATGTTCATCAGCTAGTCGCCAACTCTTTTCTACCCTCTGGTGGGGAGCAGACAGTGTACAGCAGATTCATCAGCACTGAACAGAGCTGCCCTCTACGAGCAGAGCTGATAAGAACGGTGCCAGTGAATCAGAACAGTTTAACGGTAATAACACACTCCTCAGAGCTACTGAGACAAGCCGTACCAAATGCAGCCTCCAGTCTGAAGCTAGTGTTAGCTGACTAATGTGTCAGTCCAATAGAACGCTCTGGTTACTGCTGATGTGACACAAAGATCCAGTTCCTCCCAGATTAAAACCATATTAATTTAACACAAAGGTAAAATCCTGACCATGCTAGGTGGCTAATGCTACCCCCCAAAAAAAAAAATCTGTTAGCTTTAGATGCTAACATGTCCAGGAGGAAGAAGGCCACATCTGGATCCAGTCCGAGTCCTCTGGCTGCTTTTAACCCTCTCCATGTCAAACAGCCAAACCCATGTTAACCCTGGTTGTTGCTCTTTCTTTGTCCCACTCTCTCTGTGCTAAAGACGCCACCTCTTCACTCTGACAGCTGCTGGTTCAGACTTTTAGCTGCCCAGAGCTCCTCCATGGCAGTTTGACATGACTGCTGGCGGTTTATCAGACAATGTGCAAAATGTTAGATAATTCACCATTTAGGTAACAGGACAATGGTCAAACACAGCTGAGGTCTTCATGGTTGCATACCTGAGCACAGAGAACACCCTGGCCATCTTGCCAATAGCACGGATCTTATTGCGGATGACCTCCTTACGGGCGGAAGCTGTGGCACCTGAAAGGATCATACAGAGTATGACTTGCATGTATAAAACCACGTTCTGTGGAAGTGTCATCTACACTGCTGTGCCTGCAGGACTTTGTCTTTAAAAACTCCAAGTGCCTTTTTTAAAATACTATAAAATTCATGGAGCATGTTTGCTGGACTATTAGTTTTCTGCAGAAGTGCATCAGAAGAACACGATGCAAACACAATGTGGTTATTGAAGCTGAAATTCAGATTATAGAAAATTGTCTGAATCCATTCACACATCACAACTGAGTAATACTTAGCAGTCATGCCACCTGTACCATTCAACTTTAACTCCTACATATCATTCACCCCTGTTAAATCTTCTTGCATCAGCTATAAATGTGCTGCTGGCTGCTCAACATGTCTGATGAGCACATGCTGTATTAATGTGCCTGTGCTGTGTTTTGGTTGTGGAGACAAACAGGATTTTCCTGAGCTGGAAAACAAGACTTTGTTTAAAGAGACTCTTCTGCAGAATAACAGTTTCAAGGCCCCAGGGAGCCAGCTTGGAAAACGCACAGGTATGAAGGATGGAAATGAAGCTGATATGTGGTGGAAAGGAAAGAGCTGATTGTCTGATGGCTTAGTCAAAAGTCTTCCTCTCATCCTCAACTGAAAAATCTTTATTACATAACCCTGTGCCCAGAGGATCAATCCCCCCCCCTTTCTTTTTTCCAGCACGTACATGCAAAAGCATTCATTCGGCTAATGAGAATGACCTTCCTCAAAATATTGTTTTGTCATTATGTCAGATTTGGCCTTTGTTGGAGCACGAGCATGTAACTCTACCACTACTGACACATTTTTAATTACCACACTTAATAACGAGCAGCAGTAAGACCCAGTAGACGTGTTAGAGGGTGCGTTTAACAGTGACGTTAGTGGACATACTTCTGAAATGCAGAGAGCAAGCACTGGACCAAGGTCTGCCTCTATCTACCTCTGCACACACCAGGGTTACTAATGTTTGTACCTTTTTTGGGGGGATATATAAGCTGTCCTTCTCATGAAACACCCCCAGAAGAGAAGACAAAAGAAAGGACAGAGAGATCAGTGGATGGCTGCAGAATGAAAAAGGAGGCGGCAGGAGAGGAGGCACACGGCGAAATAAGAGGCAAGAAACAACAACAAGTGGAAAGACAGTGATGCCTTGAACACAAAATTCTGGAAAACAAAAAAAAGAGAGATTAGATGAGGTAACATCACAGCATGAGAGAGAGAGACAGAGATATGTGAAAAGTAGTGAAGTTTGAAATCTCAACGTAATATAACTGGAAACAGCAGCAGATAAAGAACAGGCCAACAAGGATTATCAGAGATTGTAAGGGCACAGGAGAGGAAATCATGAGTGAGACAGACAACGCAAATGTCAACATGGTGACAAGTAAGAAAATCTATATGAGTGGAGATGCAAAACTGAAACAGAACCGAGCTTCAGAGACGGCACAAAGCGAAGGTGAGAGCAGGGACGTGTGAAAATAAGAGGATCGGCTGAAAACACAGAGAATGAGTCGGTGGAAAATGATCTGTGAAGGCGTGTGTGGTGCACGAGTACATTCATGTACTGTTAAATCTGAAATAACAATTTATCTGCAATAGACTCCTAAGAAAGCAGATGTTACTACACCACTCATACACATCTGGACCCTTTCCACTTGTCCTGCTTCATACACTACCTCCGTATATACCCTGATCACCCATTGGCCGATCACCTGAATGAGCCGTCAGCAGTTAAATGTCTTAAAAAGAGTCAGATGTCGCTGAAATCTGGCGACATCCTGACACTCCACCCAGCTGGGTGCTGTTTACACAGTCCAACCGTGTGCATCAGTAAACACAATGAGAGAGGAGGCGGCGGAAGCACCGATGAGAACATTTCCTGTCAGGCAGACGGAAACCGCCCATGTCATTGTAGATAAGCTGTAAACCAGGATCAAACAGAGGAGTCCAACTGGCCGCTATTATGTGACTATATGAAGCATGAATACTGTTTGACAAACTGTCGGGCAACAGTGTTTAAAGTAGTTTCACACTTTTACATTGTGATGATTTTAGACTTTTGGATTTTCTAGCGGGTTATATCTAAAGGAAGTCTGATGAAGGCAGTGGCTGCGTCACGTGTCTGGAAAGTTTCTCCGCTGACGAATACACTGAAGAATGTTTAAACATTTAATATATTTAAATAGCTCTGTTCTGACATAACATGCAAAAAGAGTGCGAGATTCTGAGTGTGTGTGTGTTTCCTGTTAGCAGATTACTCCCTCTGGTGGCGATAAGGCAAACTGCAGTGTCGTCTGTGATCTGTGTTTACCGTCCAGCTCCTCGTCGGTCGTCAGCTCATCGTTGGAGCAGATGCTCAGTACGTTCACTAGCATCTCAGTCACTGCAAAACAAAAAAAGGAAATAAGAAATATACAGAGAAATGTGTTCTACGACATATTTTACTTTATGTGTTGTTTAATATACCACTTCATGAGTAACCTTGTGTCTGGGTCACGAGGTCATGTGGTGCTCAGCGACTCTGACACACACACCCAGTCAGCATCGTCCCTGCTAGGAGAGGTCATTTTTAAGGAATGGCCATTTTTCACTGACTTCTACTTTTTGTTGATTTGACCTGTACAGACCTTTGAACCAGCATTTTGTCACTTCTCATGCGTCATGAATGTTGTGTAATAAGTGTTGCATTTATGAACTACGTAGTGAGGCAACACATCAGGACCGCACACAGATGAAGCAAATAGTGCTGATTATTTTGAAAAGATGGTGCAGGTCAAGGTCTCAGGCGACAGAGACAAAGTCCTCATAGTCAGTCATGCAGGTGCAAAGACCTGAGTGAGCTTGTAAAGTTTGACTGAGGAAACTGGATGTTCATTACAACACATTTGTCAAAACTGCATGCACTTGATGTTCTCATTTCAGTGTATATTAAATCCTAATCACTCTGAGACTGAACAGTATATGTGTAGCTCACCCTTCTCGCCGACGAAGGGCAGGGACCAGGTGAAAACGTCCATGAAGTTGGGCAGCCAGTAAGGGTGAGGAGAGCAGTTGAATTGCCGGATGTTCATCACGTTGTTTTCGTACTTCAGCACTGCCGCTGGGGTGGGGAGAGTGACAAGGAAGGTGGCTATGAAAATGTGCACGGATGTGTAAAGATGTATATATACTCCAGTTTTTATTGACATGTCCATTGCAGACTCCCACAGGTTTAAAAAAAGCCACCAAAAACTAAAGATGTATGTAAACGACATGTTTCAGGGACCTGGTAACAGGTTGACTGCAGCAGTGGATGAAGCCTTAAAAACATGTGTCCCAACTTCTGTTGATGACTTACAACAACAGCTTCTCTCTGTACAAAGGCAGTGTTGAGAAAGACTGTTACCCTCTGAAATATCGTTTGGAAAAAGGCCATTAACAAAGTCAGAGCTTTTCAGGGTTTCATCCTGTGGCAGGAGAACGAGCCACAAACTCCTCCAGGCTGTGGAGAAGGAGGGAACATGTGATGGAACGGCGCCACCGTGTCCAGACTGAAAGCAAAGCAACCTACAACACATTTGAGGGAATTTCTGTAGCAGTGCCGTCTGCCCCAGCAATGTTTGATTTCAGTCATAGAGAGCACGAAAGGCGTGTGCGGCTGTTGGATTACACTGATAACTACTGGAAACATGGAGGCACGATCTAAACCTTTTGTAGCAGTGGATGATGAACTGGTCCCTGAAAAGATGAACAGGACAGAAAAACAATCGTTTAAACAACACAAAGTTCCTGTGATGTCTCTGTGAACATCCACGTGTCATGACAGTGACACTGAGCAACAAAACTACTTTGATCTAAAGTATAAATGATGCAAATCACGACGCCTCTCTGTTCCTCCTGTAAAGCCTCAGACGGTACGCAGTGCTGGGAGGTCTCAGGTTTAGACTCCGTGCTTCAACACACCGCCTGCATCCTGGTCCCAGCCACCACTCGGCCTACAAATACTGTATGTTCCCAGTACGCTCCCTTTCAGTCCGTCAGCTGGCAGAGTCCTCTACCCAACAAGAAACAAGGCTGGTTAGAAGGGTCGCTTTGGAAACGAAAGCCTTGTTAGGTTATTAAACCATTCCCAAACGGGCTGAAACATTTCTTCTCGAAGTGTTAAACACAACAACAACGCTGTATTAATGATTCGTGAGCTACAGGAGCTGTCCTGATTGCTACACAGCTCCATTTGGCTTTCAAAAATTAGTTAAAACAGTGTAAAGTGATCAAGACTGTTGTCAACACCCAGAATGAAGCCTGGATAGAATTCAAGCTGTTATCAGATGCTGTCAGTCAACCTCTGGTGGTGACAGTGAATCAAAGACTCCAGTATGAAACTACCCACACAAACAATTGTCAGTCTCTCACTCTGACAGACACACTAAGACACAAGCAGAGCTGCTAATGGAGATGTGCAAATTAGGGCTAACAAATGAAATTAAGGTATCCAGCATCTGGCAGGGCAAAAAAAAAAAAAAATCAATCCCCATCCTCTTCTGGAACGTTTCCTCTGTCTATTGATTACAGCTCCCAGTTAGTAATCCGTGTCTGCCAGTTACAGGACTGGATACAGAAGTACCAGGCTCAGCGTCTTTGTGGCTGAACACTTTTCATTAGGAAAAGGAAAAGCGTCAACTCCTGGCGAGTAGGGGAGAAGGGAGGAGAGACAGGACGCTCAGGTAGCGACGGTCCAAGCTTGACCACTGTATGTAGCGTTTGATTTAATGGACAGATGAGCAGGTGCTGTCAATCGTCTCATTAACTCCTGGTGAGAACATGAATATCTCCAGAAATTTCCAACTGTTCCTACTGCTCTGTGTACAATTAGTTAGTAAAATGAGTTCCATCAGAATAAAGCACATACAGGCATAAAATATTCAGAACTCGGGATGTGAACGAAGTAGTTCTCATTCTCTTCAGTGTCATTTTCACGTCTCTGTGCACTGCTGACATAGAAACCGCCTGCCAAACACAGACCACGCCAGGCACCATGTGACCTCAATGTGAGAAAACATGAGAGCCACCAAACAAATATATCCATGCTATATATAGACACGAGGCCGGTCTGCTGGTCCAGACCTAGGGAAAGCAGACACTGCACCTGGGTCACCATGGGGGACTTTCCTGCCTCAGGACTAGCAAGTCATTGAGCCTGGCATCACCAGCAGCTTGGCTGCACCAAAAATGGGGTGAGAACCATCCTGATATGCTGGGATTTGCCTCTGTGAGGAATCAATGAGGCCTGGTAATGCATGTAGAGTAGTGCAGTAACTATGCAGTCAAAGTGGTCCCTGAAGTACTGCAAAGCATTATATTCCACTGCCAGCACCTCTTTATCCTCAGCAGCACAAATGAACTTAGACACATCCTCCAACACAAACAGAGCAACGTCCTGCAGGGGAACGTCCATATACTGTACAGTTAATATGACACGGTTATCAACATCAGCAAACACCACTACCCAGCCCAGTCAGAGAAGCACAGTATAGGCCTGACACACTCGGCTCAGACGGGGCTCTGGGTGTTTATGTGTGTGCGTTGGCATGCATTAAAGCACGCATGGGCAGGCGTCGCATAAACATCACACACTGCATAAACATCGTCCAGGCACTTGACTGAAAGCAGCCATGAAAGCCCGGAGGGAAGGAGGCAGAGCGGGGGAGGAGATCAGCTCCCCCTGCCATTACTCCTTCAAATCGGATTCCCTTTAAAGGAACAGAGACGCCCAACAACCTCCCCTGCACCAAGCCGACCTGCTCGTCGAGCTCTGGGTGCGAGCAGGCCGAGGGCCTCTCTCTATTTTAGGACACTGCATTAAACAAACATACGAGGGTGACAGGAGCTGCACTTTACTTCGCTATAATCACAACACTCATTAGTACAAATGCACAGTTACGTGCCAAGTCACTTCTCATGCAGCAGCAGCAGCGCACTGCCCTTGTGGCACACAGCTGTGACTCCTGTGCTCGACTCTACAGGGCTAAATTTAACACCACATAACAGCCGCTAGATGTCTCTGCTGCTCTGACGCTGGTGAACCAAGTAGCTGAGGCCAAGGCCTGCTGCCACGGTAACACAGATCCCACAAGGTGCCGCCCGCTCGTTAAATATTCATAAGGGAGTGCCTGGGGTCGGTTTCCCTGGTAACGAGGACTGTTAAATCTACTTTGAGAACAGGGGGCGATTCCCAGCGTCCTGGCCTGGGGTTCAGACCAGTGCACTATGATCAGCGCTCTGCTTCCATCTGATGCCAGGCATGTGTGGACCTCCGGGATTAAATGCGTGTTCACTGTCAGCTGATAAATTAATGAGACTATTTGCAGTAGCAGAGAAAACAGCAACCCCCTTCATTCATGTTCAGTGTGTACATAAACAGGGCTGGGAGTCGAGTCTCAGTTCTGAATTGCACCTGGTTTCTTAATTATTAAACTGGCATGCAAAAGGTCGACCTATTGTGCGCTGATACTTACTCATGCATCAATATGATTCGACAATGTGATAAACCGGAGCCATGAGTGTGGATAGTTTTCACAACAGACGAAGAGCAGATGTCTGTCTAAAATGACAACTCATTTACTGCAGCATGCTATAAAAATGCAGTACAGATGTCCACACTCTCTTCTAACGTCCAATATTCTAAAACAGTACTGAACTGCATGACCACATGTGACCTTTTCGCCTGAAAAACCCCGTCATCTGTCATAAAAGACTGTTTGTTCTTTTGCATTCTGAAGAAAAAAAAAAAAAAACCTCAACTTCCACTTCACTCCAGCTTCATGGAAGAGGCTTTTGATTTGTTCAAACCAGTAACAGCACTTGATTTCAAATTAAAAGCTTTCTTCTGCAACTTTCAACCACATCTCATGGTCTTCTTCACTGGGTGGAGGAAGCCCTGGAGTTCAAATTATTATTGGAAGACAAAATAGTAGTTTTTCCTGGAGCTTTCAGCTGCATTTCAGAGTTTGCTCAGATGTTGAGGACACAGCTCCATACAAAGTACTTTTCTAGGTTTTCCTCCTCAAAACAAAAAGATGGGAAAGGGGGCCGTGAATAAGCAGGACTGGAATGACCACTAAAAACATCTCAGCCCCACACGGACACTGCTGCTGTGATCATATACTCTAACGAGGCTTAGATCGCAGTTGGTTTGGAAGGAGAAGAGCTTGATAACATTATGTTCATTTTTCTTGCTTGATGCTTGAAATGTTCGCTAACTTGTTTACAGAAAACTGAAGGGAAGCCCAGTAATGACCAGAGTGGTAACAGATGGGCGGGCATCTGCGGCCAGGGATACTCTTCTTGCTGGCACTTGTGACGAGGGGGAAAAATTAACTCCCTGCTGCGCTGGCGTCATCGCTGCTTCAGCTTCCATCCTGCTATTTATTCCAGCGGTGCGGCCAGGAGCCAATCGCGCCCTCCCTCCTCTACTACCCACCAGTCAGCACCGGAGGGCGGAAAGGAAATGGACAAGAAGTGACTCCCGTCCAATTTGACCTGTCTCTCAAGTTTCCACTGGCCACTAAACCTTTTCAGTTTCCACCGGATTATGAGACAATAACAGAAGAAATAAATGAGACGCTCACATGGCTGTGTGAGGTTTAACAGCTGAGCGAAGGATTGAACCTCGACATTCCTGACCATCTCTGGGTAAAATACAACACTGACAGTGTTGGCAGCATCACTGCCATTTAGCTCTTATTCCATCCAAGCCATTAGGATTCAGTGGCTGGCTCTCAGGACCAGTCAATAATGATGCAGCAAAAACGTTCCATTAATACCAAACTGTAAGCAATCTCCACAATGTGGAAGCGTCAACAACACCCCGCCTCCTCTCCCTCTCCGTTTCCTCTGCAGTCACTTCAGGTCTCAAACAGCAAATGCTCAAACAGGGAAAACCTCCAGATCACCTCTGCTGTGTTTTCTCTGAACACAGGCTGATTTCACTGAGAAGTGCGGGGGTCAGAGGTGCGACGGACAGCTGGTCAGCGCCTGACTCCTATGGGTGAGGCCGGGCTTTATAGAATTACACCCTGAGAATTATTCACATGTTGATTATCCTGACTCAGGGACATGCTCGATTTACTTCTAGCGAAGACTTCCTCCTCCTCTCTGATGGGAGGTGCCCCTCTCGTTCTCCCCCCGGAGGTAGAGGTCTCGTTGGTTAATCTGGCCCACTCACAGCACTAGATCGATGGGACCTGCTGAGGCCTCCTCCTACCCTTTCAGATTTATGTGCCCACTCGATTGGCCATCAATCATCGGACATGCTCAGTGGGCCCCGAGCTCCCACAAGACGCTAAGAGCAGAGCAATTCATTACGGAGGCTTTGGTTGTAGCAGTGAACCCCACCCACATGATTGATTAGAAGAGCATCAACAGGACTGGCTAGCAGTGCCTTTTCCATGGAATTATGTAACTGTGGGGAGAAACACATAAAGTCGAGGCAAGTAAATGCTTGAAAAAGTGAACTGGGAACCAATTACATAATCACGACATACTACAGCTTTAAGAGATCTCTGGCCAGACCATCAGCTTGATTATTTGGTTGGTTTTCCTCTGCTATTACATTTCTGGTATAAGCCAAAGCTCCAGTCACGTCGAGACAGATTTAGCTGGAGAGAGAAGTGCGTCTCATTTTCAAGTAGACAGTGAGTGATGATAGAAATAAAGCATAGGTATTCTTGCTAGGTAAGATGTATCTGTGCACCTAAATGACATCCGTTCTAAAAACAAACACAGGAATGTTTTTCTTTCTGATACCCACACTCGCTCTGGGGAGACATTTTATCAACTAAAGGTCAGACGAGGGCGCAGACCAAATCATCTTCTGTCTGTTTCGCACCGAGCTCGACAAGTGCAAATGATTTGCCAGGCAATTGGCTGCCAAAACTAAAAACATTGAACACCTGACAACACTTTGTTTGTATCGTGTTGTGTCGACTGTGAGCTCTAGGAAGATTAGTTGGCACTGAGCAAACAGGGTCCTAATAATAAACACTGCTGCACTGTTTCTCCACTCTCCTTATTGTCCAGGGGAGGAGTTAAGGAAAAGAGCAAACAGATGTAACCTATTCCTAAAGAAAACACACCTGCTAATGGGCCAAAACGAAACAGCTGGACAGCCCTCGCTCCCTCCCGTAACGTCCTCACACTTGCAGCAAAAAGCTCTGTGGTGGCATTTCATCACGGGAGGAACTGCAAAACACAGCATGCGCCAGCACCACCAGCACCACCATCACCACCATCACTCTCTTCCCATTTCCATTTCCTGTTGCCTGCCCACTTCCGCCCCCACAGCCACAGCAGCTACTCTCTGTGCTCTAGGGGAAAGTGCTGAGGCACAGCACAAGGGCGAGCCCGTCTTGTTGCATGGGCACCACAGCAAAGCAGGTGCCAAGTGGACCAGCACTGGGCCACTTCATTTCACTCCAGCCGCCGACTTGACTGGGCCACACCAGCGTCACAGCGTCGGTCAGTGCATCAGTACGAAGCTGCTCTGTGCTATGGGGCAGAGTGGTTCTCCACTGGAATACTGATGAGCTGCCTACACTGTTTAAGTGTGATGAATGCAGTGATGCCAACAGCGTTAAAATGTAAGCCTCATAAAACCCTTTCAATATCATCTTCAAAGAGGAAATAAACAGGACCTGAAGGGAAAGGAAAGGAAAGAACGCACCTTCATCAGCATCAGAGCAGACGTGCCAGTGTTAGCCAAAAGGCTACTTTTTGTCGACATCGGCCTGCTCTACATCCTTTTAATAAAAGACAAGATTTTGATTCAATGTTCCTTTAAGCTCTTTCGGACATGGAGCTGTGTAGCAGCTGCTTTTTTTTGGCGTTCAGACTTGAGAGCTGCTGTGGCATGGTTGCTCATTGTGAGGATGAACTATGAGTGGCTGAAAATATAAAACCATGGACATAAACAAGAGACTAATGCAGAGTCGAACATGTAGCAAGACCCAGGCATTGTGTTCAAGAGTATGTGGACTAAACCAGAAGGCAATTTTCATGGCAGCAGCAAGATATAGGTGTTACTAATAACATTAACGAAGGCTCCATTCTATTGAAGTGTCCCAGAGAATCATGTCGACTGGCATAAACAACACCGGGGCCCTGGAACTCTTAAATTGAATGGAGCCCTTCATAATGTCACTGATTGCATCTGAACTTTTCCTGCTATCATCTCAAAATAAAATAAAATAGAGCAAAAGCATTTGGGGAGGGCCCAGTAGTGTCATGACGCTCTGCACAGATCCGAGGCCGACAGTGAACCTCCAACCTGGAACCACCTGTCTGTAAGTGTGATGTTGCCCTGAGGCAGCTCGTAAATATGACACTGGAGTATTCATGTTACAAGCCCCTGAAAACTGATAACGATATGTTCCCTCTCCGTACCTTTGTTGTTGTAGACATCTAGGTAGTTGGGTGCTGAGAAGATGGTGATAAGGGATGGGAAGCCAGTGGTCTGACTCTTTCTGTACATGCGATATCTGGTGAAATGGCCAAAGGGGAAGCAGGGATTAGTAAACATTAAAACATTTGAGTGGATTACTCACTGGTGCTCAACCCGCAGGATATAATTAGCCTCCACAGTGTTCATGGCGTCTTGTTTTCACTGTGACTGTGTGTTTGTCTTGTAAAATGACCCACCAGCGGGGAGGGAGGACGACACAGTCTGTGTAATAGGCTGAAACCAGCCAGTCTACTGATGTCCCATCAAATGTCTGTGCTGTGTTTGCTGCACCTCGCCTTGTAGAAACTACTTGGAGATTATAAAAACGGTACCAGTAGCTAAAGAAATTAAACTCTAACATTATAACATGTGTGGTCTGTAGCGCCTTGGGCCCCTAAACTGAACTGAGACCTGGCGAGGTGTCCCATGTGACCATGGCGTGGGAGTGCGGTGCCTCTCACTGTCTTCACCTTGCTTAGAGGCTGACACATCCACCCACCTGCCTGTTTCAAACACGCTTCAAAGAGGCTTTCTAGTGACTTTGTTAGAAATCCAAGGTGCGCTGTTACTTCTTGTTGTGCCCAAATCACTCCTGAAGAGGGGAAAAGCACCGGTGGGTCTGACTGTGCCAGTGGAAAAACTTTTTATACAGAGTTCTTAACAAGATGTGCGTGAACTATCACAGCACATCCGTGGACCTCACTCCTGCTGGATTACCACCACTTAACTCAGAGCTCAGACTGCACCGGCCCTGCTCCCTAGACAGGTGTGAACGAACCCCCAGAGCACCTGGGAACCTTTTCATTTAATACCCCGGGCTGTGCGACAGTGTGATGGGAACAGACGAAATGCCACAACACTCACCCAGCATCCTGCGCTTCATGGGCCCGGATGATAGATAATAAGTTATTGTGTTGTAGAAAGTCACAGACTGCAGGGTAGCTGTTGAATAAAGCAACAAACATTTGGGTTACTCATACACCAAGAAAAAACCCAGTAAGATCAAGAAGAGCAATCAATAGAAAAAAACTATACAAGTCATGGGTATTATTGATCGTTCACAGGGAAACGGTGGATATACAACACTGAGTTCAAGCTAAATTTGTTCTAAAACCAACTGTGGCTCATAAAGAGGAACAGTATACCGCTTTGAAAGGTTGGCTGTAAGTGAAGGCTTTCATATCAACTTGAGCTTCTACCTGAAATTTAATGCAGGCTCTTTATGAGCGAAGGTATGATGAATCACAATCTAATTTAACAGCCCCGTATAGATCACTTATAAACAGGCTCTCGTGTTGTACGAGCGGCAGGTGTGATCCTTCTCAAACAGTGCATTTTATTTTAGAATGAAACAAGTATGACATTCACAGCAGACGTTTTCCAGGAAGAAAGCCATTTCTTTCTGGGGTGAGGGTTAGACTGTGTGTTATGGTCACGCTGATCTCGTCAGGCCTCACAGCCAACTAGCAAACTATAGCAAAACTTTAGAGTTTTCCATTTTACAGCCTTCCATCCTCCAGCACCAGTTTCCACTGGAAATAATGGAAAAGGCACAAGACAAACCCCTGCCAAACAGTATTTATTTAGCAGAAAACGTCACTATTAAACATTTCCATGCCCGTGGTACCTCTGAGAGGCTCCTGTCACCCATGTGACTGAAACCCACATAGATGTCAGGAATTATGTTACGCAATGAGCAGAGTGAGCGACAGCTCACCATGAATAAGTGACACCATGTGAACATCTCGGTGAATGTGGGAGGATTCTTCAATAACGACGGACTAAAGTCAATCTAAGATGTTGTCTGATTAGCCTAACAGTCACTTTACAGCTTTAGCAGCGATGGAGGTAAAGTTCTAGGTCATTTCACTGTCACCGTAGGTAAATCAGTAATCAATTTTCTACTTCGTTCAAAGGAAAAGCAGACATTAAAAGCACATAAACAACTTTGAGATATCAGTAAAGTAGGTGCTTGTTGAAAACAGGTTCACCTCAATGTCCGCACACAGTCAGAGCACAACAATGAACAACACCCACATGCTGCAATCAGAAGCAGTCTATACAACCTGGCTGTCAATGTTACAGCACTGAGATCTGGTTTGAGTCAGGACCTGCTGCACCATCAAACCAGCTGGTTTTTAAATTTGCCTTTTGGACATGACTGCTGCTCTACAATCACAACACACTGCTGAGGTTTTATGATAACCGTGCAAAGCTGTTGTGCTGTTTCAGTCCTGTTTGATCCAGGAGTACACTATTACAGTATGGCAGCTTTATTAATGTGAAGTCCTTTGGGGCAGGCTTGGAATAAAGGGTTATATAAGTTAATTAGCTTTAATTTGACTAGCTTGTTTGTGTATGGGGGTTTATCAGACACCACGCTGGGTGTAGAGGTAAATCATTTTGACATCAATTCTGTGAAAGTCTATTATGGGAGGCTGAAATTGAAGGACAGTTTATTAACAGTCACAGCGAGCGTGGACCTGAGAACGCAAATAAACATCTGTTAGGGCGGATTTAAAAAAGGAGGGAGCGGTTACCGAGAGGGAACGAGGTCGGCAAAGACTTCTCTCTTTTCTTTAGTGGGAAGAAGAAATTAGGAATAAATGTTTCATTTCTCACTTGATTTCCTGCAGCAGATGTAGATACGTACAGTGGCATATGGAGCCATTTGGTAGACAAGATACATTTCAGCCTGGTTTGTTTTTTGGCACTTTACATTTCGAGTTTAGGAGCATGTTCCATCTGTCCAACAACAGGAGACAGATGTTAATGAGCTCCTCGGACGACACGAGGAGTCACCAGAAACCGTTTCACTGTGCGCAGCCCAAGCGACATTTTGCATCTTTACTATGATAACATTTAAAAGTGGACAAACATGTGAGTGGAGGCTAAAATGAAAACAGTCAGTCTGTGTGATTCCATGCCTGTGAAAGTTTTATGGAAATAAAAACCAGTTTCTGCAAGACAGATGCAACAGAGAAGCTGTTGAGGAACGGCTCTCTCTCAGTCTGGCTTCAACTGTCTCATAAATCCCGAATGCCAGTGCGAGTCCAATTAGAGACCATCTCCTGGGCAGACGAAGTGGAGCACACTGATGGAAACAAGACCCCTGAGGAGCTTTGACCAAATGGCAGAAGGTTAGCCAGGATACTGGCACAGCACAAACACGTGAAATCAGTCACGTACTTTGTTCAGCTCTGATCGGAGACCTGCAGTGTAATGGCTCACATCAACCTACAACAGATATAAACACCATCAGGCCAAATATGCCCACACAAATCCACAACAGCAGCGCTGGAGTTCATTCTAAGCATTAAAATACTATTAAGTCAGTCGTTATGAAACACCTGCTATTAAAAACAAAGAAATCCAGGAGGAGGAGGTGCACGTGAAGAGCCTCAGGACCACGCTGGGGCCGCGCGAGCATCGCTCAGGCCATAATGAGCAGAGGGAGCACCAAACGCACTTAGAGGCAGGACTGTGCCTCATGGTAATGTGCCACTTCATTACATGTTGTGACAGTGCGAGTTGTCTGCTGCGAGCATTTCCTCTTGTTCGGTTAGCCAGCTCAGTCGAAGGTAATGCGGGTTACATAAATACCAGTGGCATAATAGTGGAGGAGACCTTGGGACTGCACTGCCGCACGCTCTTACAACTACTGGTCTCCTCCTCACAGCTGAGGAGCCGCAGGGGAACGAAGAGAGGTGGAAATCTGGCAGGAGGGTTCGCTGATCAATCATCCCTCAGACAAGATGATGGCTACTTTCCCCTCACTGCGCGATGATTACCTGTCCTGATGTTCAAATACTGCATCTTGGAAAATGTTTAACCACAGACAGTAAAGCCAAAACTAATCAGCACAAGATTTATTCTCCTCAAACTACTGAAAGCACCAAAACACTGGCTTTCTGAAATACAATCTGATCAAATCTAAAAGCTTTGGTTTAATATGGAAACTGCCATTTTGATCGAACGCTGCATTGTGCTGAATGAAAGCCATTACTTAGGCTGTTATCTGAAACCCTCAAAAAGATCACTAATGAAATTAAAGCCATGTGATTCATCTACTTGAGAGCGACAACACACTCACCTGTAGAAGTAGGAACATCCTCGCACTGTGTTGTGTGTGAAATGCTCTTGGCTCTTCTCATTCCCAAAGTCTTCCAGGGGGTCAGACCACAGCAGATCACACATCGGTCCATACGCTGGGGGCTCCTTGAATCTGTCTAGCTGTGGAGGAAAATGCAAGGAGACCTGTCAGCATGACTGGAAAAACTGCACGTGAAGCGTAGATACTGCTTCCGCCTGCTGCATCCTAATTGAGCCGTGACTCCGGCTTGTTTGCTGAAGCGATATAAATCCTCATTTGAGGATGATGTGTCAAAGACTGTGCTCATCTTTCAGTACCTCGAAGGCTTTTCTGGCCAGACAGGAACATATAAATGACTCTGCTGTCAGCCAAGCATGGCCCTGCCTCCAACAAAAGCTCGTGGATTACTGGACGAGTAGCATGATGGACACCTCAATAGAGCAAATTCTATTATGCACGGCCTCTGACTGCAGCCACCAAATCCATTTGGAATTACTCAATTAGTTTGAAAGCAGGATCTGACTCTTCAACATTTTTTAAGCAGAGGGAGGATCAGACCGGTGCTAACAATCCCCTGTGTCCAAGTGCTGAGCGCTGTCTGAGACACGTGGGAGAATCACTTCATGCACCACAAGCAGGGCTGTTGTTTTCACAGCACATTATGCTAAAACAGTGTTTTCCTCATTAAAAGGGAAAAAGCAAGTGCAACTTTTTAATACATGGTCTGTTTTTAAAGCTATTAACCTTATAAAAACAAACATAAACATACTTTCCTGATGTCGTCAAGATTTGTGATTTCTGGAGAAAGTCCTCCGTGTACACACAGGAACTGCTGGTTCATAAGTGCGGCCAGAGGAAGACAGTCGAAGGCGTCCATACATGCGTCATACACCCTCTCTGAATACTTAATTCTACCTGTCATGGGGGAAAGAGAGCACACCAAGTCAAACAACACTGCTCTCACACACTGGGGCTGTGTACTAATGTAGGAAGGAAATGTTTTGTAAAGTGCCAAAAACCCTCCCATACACATTTTAAAAACAACACAATTCCACAGCACTGCTGTGTTTTCTTCCCTCACTCTGTCCGAGTCCAACAGAAATAGCTCTGATATGTGTAAATATCAGGAAGGACAAAGCTCTGACTAGACCCTGGACCAGGCCAGAGGGCAGTTTAAAGTGAGCGTTTGAGGTCAATGGCTGAGTAGGATGCATAATAAACAGCTTTTAGAAAGAAGCACTCAGTTCTCCTTCCACTCTGCACTGCACCTCACAGACTTAGATCAAAGGTAAAACAGAATGAACTGTAAAAGCAT